AAAGAGGAATGGGTAACACATAGGTTAAAATTTTTTTAATAAGACAAGCCCCCAGTCCCCCTTTTTGTTTTAGGGCTTTTTTTTTTTTTTTTTTTTTTTTTTTTTGTAAAATGAATCCCTGATTGTCAAAAGTTGTTGATAATATCACTGTGTTCAGTTGTTTTGAAATTCATCTTTGTCCTAAAGTTAAGTGCCATTAAATTTCAACTAAATACAGCAACTTTTAAAAACAGCAACTGTGTCCGTCATTTCTGTTTTTTGGAAGAGGTTTTCCAGGCAGAAGTTCATTTACCTGGGACGCTCTCAGTGGAGAATGATGTGGGTTGTGTGCTGCTCTCTGTTGCTTCATTCGGCACTATTTTTGATTAGCATTTCACACTATATTCTTGTATCACCCCTCCTCGACCTGAAAGAACCATGCTCAGAGGCCTCATTTGCTCCTAGTGCTCCTTGTAGCCTGGTATATCCCTGGAATATCAGTGTATGTCTAGAGACATTTCAAGTTTTTGACAGTTTTAACAAACAATGGTTAAAATTATTTCTGGAAATATCACAGTCAGAAAGTCTGATGTCATAGATCTCACCCACCCCGGACACTGTCAAAACAGAGATTCATGTTGTGATTGCAGCCTTGTGCTCTAGTCTTTGCTATCAAAATTCCATCTTTATTTACACAGTTTTCAACGAGTGTCTGACATTGCAGAGTAAGAGCTGATTCTTCTACTCTCCTTTGTTCTGAGTTGGCATTTTAAAATGCTTTTGGATTTTTTAAAAATTTTAATCGAAGAAAATTCCCATTATGGTTTTCCTGTTTTGTCATGGGGACTATTGAGCTGACAGTTTAATGTGGCCTGACTTTGCAGACTGTGGTTACATATCTGCAGGCTGCCCTGTGAGTTCACAGGGTTCCTTTGTACTCTGTCATTTGCCTTACTGACCTTTCTGTCAAAACGCAGTTTCTTTCCTTTTCTTTCCTTTTTTTTTTTCTGATAACTGTCATACATTTTATTTTATTAAGTTTCTGTTTGTATAATTTCTTGGGATGTACCTCGGGTTTCAGTGTTGGCCTAGCATAACGAAAGTCCTGAGTTTGATTCCCAGAACCACAAGGGAAAAAATTGTTTCTAAAATTCTCTTTGTAAAGTTTTCCAAAATAAGAATCCCTCGTGGGGCTGGGGAGATGGCTCAGTTGGTAAAGTGCTTGCTATGCAAGCTTAAGGATCTGAGTTCTAGCCCTCAGAACGCATGTTGAAAACAAACCAGGTATGTTAATGTATATATCCCAAACTGGGGTGGCAGATGCAGGTGAGTTCCTGGGACTCACTGGCCAGGCAGGCTAACCAACTTGGAGAGATCCAAGTCAATGAGAGACACTGTCTAAAAACATCAAGATGCGTGGCTCCTGATGAATGCCAGTGGAGATGGTCCTCTGGCCATCAGATACATGTGCACATGCACACACACGAACACACACATATTGAGTCCCTTTGCATTTGAGGAAACAATTGGAAATTCTTGGAACTTTAAGAAAATTATTTTGTGATGGCATGCAGTTGAAAATAGTTCTCTGTATGACTGGTCATCCTTCACAAAGTACTTGCATGTGTAGAGCCGACTGTCCAAGGATCCCTGGATCCTTAATAACGTTAATATTTCATAAAAGCACCAACATACAGAAGGTGCTCCATAAATACTTGTGGATTAGTTATGAAACTAGGTGATATATGACTTTTTTATAGCAAAACAAACTAAATCAAAGACATTAAATGACATGCTTAGGATATACAATTAGCCAAAAACAAATCCAGTACTAAAACGCTCTATTTAGTGATCCGGGGCACCTCAGTTTTTTCTTTCCCAAAGAGATTATGTATACTCACAGATATACTTCTCATTTGTTTTTCAATAAATTATTGTTAATGTTTCCTGTTTAATTAGACTCATATAATTACAAATATAATCAGGAGAGGTATTCCAGGTTAGCTTGTAAAGCCAACCCAATGGAAACAATATACAATATAAATAGTAAAATTTTGTGTTCCTTTTTAAAATAGTTATAGAACTGAAACAGTAAAGGGAAAAGCAAGCATAATTCCCTCTGCCATAAATTCTTTCTTACAAGCTGATGACAGTTTTGTTTAATTTTATTATGCTTTATGTGAGTGTGAAAAAATTTCTTACACAAAACCCACCAATAAAGGATTTAGTTGAAATGTAAGTTAAAACTAATAATACATTAAATAAATTTAGGGCAATAAAATTCACTTCCATTGCCTTTATATGATTGAATCCAGTATTTATGGTTCTCTTAGTGACCATTAGCACTCCAATAGCCTATCCAAGAACTCAACTGACCCCCCCCATGTCAAGCTCCCAACATATTTATTTTTCCAAAAGCATTAATTTTTCACAGTGCAGAGTAGATGAGGAATGGTCAATAAATTATCAAATCCTTTCACTTCCCATAACAGTTTTGCTTCTGATGGAATTGTGACTGCTAACAAAAATAAGAGCGCGGATGGGTGTGTTCAGAGCACCCCATGTGTCCATCTGTTCTCTCCAGCTCTCCTGGAAAGAATTACACTGATGGCACCGATTTCTTTAGAAAATTTTTCTGAAGTTATAGCTCTGTATAGCTCTGTATAACTATAATTTTTCTGAAGTATAGCTCTTTCAACCAAAGGTTTGAAATTCTGTATTACACTACAGGACCTTATTGCTATATGTTTGTTCATTTTAGTTGACTTCAAAACATGGTTTAATCCAAGTGAAGTCACAGTCAGGAGATACAGCTTTTTTTTCCCCAAAATTGTCTCTCAAACTACTGATATATTGTATCTTTCAAACTTACAGCACCCCTTCTCTCATTTACCAATTACAGATTTATCTGATAACCATCTTGTTGATAAATCATTTATTTCTTTCAATATGTAAATAATACCCTGTTCACAGTCTGCAGCTCACTCCAAAGTGGATTTCTTATGGGTGTCTTTCTATCGTCTATCTCTCTTTCTTCTCTTCTAGGCATTACTTCATTAGCTACTTCTCCTTGCATGCTAAGTAATTTTTCATCAAGTAATAAATGCTACATCCATGCAACCTGGGATCTGCCTATTTCACCAATTGTCTTCAACAGCAAATTGTAGAGAAGGTTGATATGGAGATATTTTCTATTTGTTAAGTAAAATCACTATTCTGGGGACTGGAGAGGTGGCTCAGGGGTTAAGAGCACTTGCTGAATTATTAGACTGTTTTAAAAGACTTTAAGCAGAACCTTATGATTTGTGTAAATGACAAGTGTAAAATCCTGCCATAAAAATGCTTTAAAATATGCACTTTAAAAAAAAAAAAACAAGAAGTGCAGCATTATAAAAAGAAAAAAAACACATTTAGAGACTGGAAAGATGCTCAGCTCGTAAGAGCACTGGGTGCTCTTGCTGAGGACCAAGGTTTGGTTCCCAGCATCCACATGGCAGCTAACAACCATTCATAACTCCAGTTCTAGGGATTTGATGCTCTCTTCTGTCCTCCGCAGGCATTGCATGGCACAGGTGCACTTACATACATGCAGGCAATACACTTGTACACATAAAAATAAAATTAGTGAACTCAGTATTTTTTTTTTAAAAAAGAAGCACATGTAGGACAGGGCATGGTGGCATAAGCCGTTAATCTCAGCCTTCTGAGGCAGAGGCACAAACAGAGGCTGGCATATCTCTGTGAGCCTGAGGCCAGCCTAGTCTAGAGCAGGTGTCAGGATACTTGGGCTATATAGAGAGACTCTGTGTGTGTGGGGGGGTGACCTCCTAGGATGGGTGCTCTTGCCCCTTAGTCCATATCCAATCTCCATGCCCTGCTGTTCCATAACCAAAGAGCTTCTATGCCCTTGAAGTTAAAGGTCTCAGACCTTCTAACTGCCTCCTCCAAGGACAAGCTGTAG